AAGCGGCTTTACTGATGAGATGAAAGCATGAAAGCCCTAGCTATAGATGTTTAGTTAGAAGTACTTCATTGAAATTCAGGCATTTCTTTTAGATGTAATATGCATTTTTTTTTTTTTTACCATATCTACTGTGTTTTTGCAGACATCAACGAGTGTGAGGTGATGCCTAACCTGTGTAAGAACGGCCAGTGCATCAACAGCGTCGGCTCCTTCCGCTGCCATTGCAACGTGGGTTACACCGATGACTTCACTGGCACTTCCTGTGTCGGTACGTTCTCCTCGCTCACCGTAACCCTTATTTAAGACAAAGTGTGATACGGTTCTAAAAGCCTGTTTTTGATGCAATACTTGATGCTTTTCAATTAGATATGGACGAGTGCTCTCAGTCGCCCAAACCGTGTAACTTCCTGTGCAAAAACACCGAAGGCAGTTACCTGTGCTCGTGTCCCAGAGGATACATCCTACAGCCTGATGGGAAGACCTGCAAAGGTTAGCTCATAATTAATGTGTAAATTTTTCCTTGCTGCGATTAAAATCTGGTCGTAGCAATAATCCTCCCCAATGATCAAACCAATGTGTGCTGATATGAAAAACTGCTTATTTCATCCCAGATTTGGACGAGTGCTCAACCAAGCAACACAACTGTCAGTTCCTGTGCTTCAACACGATCGGTGGCTTCACCTGTAAATGCCCCTCAGGCTTCACGCAGCACCAGACGGCATGCATAGGTGAGTGATATGAACTCAAACCGCCCGCTAACATGCCTAGCCCAGAGTCTAAATAATTGAGCGGGTCATTTGGAGCTAAAATTGCCTCCATGCTTCATCTCGTAGACAACAACGAATGCAGCAATCAGCCAAACCTATGCGGCTCCCGCGCCTCCTGCCTCAACACCCCCGGCAGCTTCAACTGCGAGTGTCAGAAGGGCTTCTCTCTGGATGGCACGGGAATCAACTGTGACGGTAGGTTTCCCATTATGAGCCCATTTGAAATATTTTTGCACTAAGCGCCAATGCAGATATCGCTTGTTAATATGTATATATAATATATATGTTATATGCTTTTGTTGAAACCATCTTTTCACATTAGTTCATAATCGTGTTTAACAGCAGAATTCGTGGTGGAAAAACTACATTACCCATGATGCTTTACAGAAAATTCCACCAATCAGAGTTGTGGTGATCAAATCGTGCCTACAGAGGTCTTTAGCCCCACGCACTCCCACAAAGCACCGCAAATGACGTAATCAAGCCGCTCTCAAAATACTTAAATTAGTGCTGTCAAAACGCGTTAACGCAGGCGATTAATTTTTTCCCGTTTAGCGCGTTAAAAATATTTAATGCAATTAAGGCAGGGGCGGATCTAGGGTTGGCCACCCCACTCACAACCACTGCTTCTGTCTCTTTTTTCTGGAAAACAATTGCATTTATTTAGACACAGAACCTCTTTACGACAATATCAAACGGGAGACTTTTCAAATGCACACTCCAACTTTAATTTCAGAAAAAATTTGCGATTAATTAGTGAAAAAAATTTAATTGACAGCACTAACTTAAATACAAATTTTACTTTCTTTTTTAAGTTCCGAGTATACTTCTTTTTACGCGTTCTGCTCCGTCTCGCACACAGCCGTGTCAACGTGGCTTTCAAAGCATATTCAACGCATCGCAGTACCACCTCGTGGACTCGTTCTGTCTCAACATTCACCTCACGCCTGCGCTGTTGTACGCGGATGTCCGCGGACACTTCTGATTACAAAAATTGCATCACACGGACAGTGCACGGACCGTCACGGATCATGAACGCCCGAAGTATACTTTGGGCTTCAGATTGTCATTTGCAATGCTTCATGGAATTGTTCGGTTTGGTTCATGCGCTGTTGTACGCGGATGTCCGCGGACACTTCTGATTACGAAAATTGCATCGCACGGACCGTCACGGATCATGAACGCCCGAAGTATACTTTGGGCTTCAGATTGTCATTTGCAATGCTTCATGGAATTGTTCGGTTTGGTTCATGGCTTATAATGCTTTAACGAAGCATTTTTCAAAATTCCAATGGGAAAATTGATTGAAAAAAATTATAATTATGGAACCAACACCGCTAAGAAGGTGGACGGGCACAAACGCAATCTATGCCATCATATATTAGAATCACATGCTAACCAGATTTTGGTTTCTGACAGACGTCGATGAATGTGGCGGAAACCACCGGTGCCAACACGGTTGCCAGAACATGTTGGGAGGATATCGTTGCGGATGTCCGCAGGGTTACGTTCAGCACTACCAGTGGAACCAGTGTGTGGGTAAGTATTTCTACGCAGATGAAAAGCGATTTTCAGTTGCGCAGTTGTCCTAATTTCTGTGTCTTCCACCCAGACGAGAACGAATGTGCCGGGAACCAAGTCTGTGGGTCTGCATCTTGCTATAACACTCTGGGCAGCTATAAGTGCACGTGCCCGTCAGGTTTCGACTTTGAGTCCTCTGCTGGCGGATGCCAGGATGTTAATGAATGCAACCTGAACAATAACCCCTGCAGCTATGGCTGCTCCAACACAGATGGCGGATACTTGTGCGGATGTCCCGGAGGCTTCTACCGAGCAGGACAAGGGTGAGTATTTAGGCTAGCCTGCTCATATTTGTTTATGCCACAAGTGTGCATTCCTGCTCCTGGAGGACAACTTTCTTTCAGAGTTCAGCTCCAGCTTTCTCCAACGCACCCACCTTGATGCTTCTAGTAATCCTGAAGACCTTTACTAGCTAGTTCAAGGGGTAAAATCTAGGAAGGTGGCCCTTCAGGAGCAGGACTGGATACCCAAATAGTTTGAACATACTGTACACTATATAGTAGGGAGGTCAACTCTGGTCTTGGAAGGCCACTGTCGTGCAGGGTTTAGCTCCATCCCTAAACAAACACATCTGAAAAATCCAACATCCAAGCGTACTTGAGCATTCAAAATCATTGGTAAGACTTTCTGTAAGATGTCAGAACATGACCACAGGATTTGCTTCCAGTCAGACAAAACAACATCAATAGCTACTTTTCCACTGTCGGGCCAGTGCGATACATTGATCATAATTAGAGGTCGACCAATATGGGTTTTTCTCTGGCCGATGCCGATATTTAGAAATCAGGGCAGCCGATGTATGATGCCAATTTTTTTGGCCGATATGTTTGAGTTTGAGTAAATGATTATTGCATAGTACAAAATAGTAGTAGTAGTAGTAGTAGTAGTAATAGTAGTAGCCTAATTCATAGTAATAATACATGGCTCAAAATTTGAGCACCTTCTCAAAACAGTTCTGAAGCATGCTTTTTGTTTATGTTTGCTGACAGACACCAGTGTTTCCCAGACTTGCAAATGAAAATTCATTCTCTGCCAGCAGGAGGCGCTGTTGGAGCAGGAGATATAGCAGATTCCCTGGTAACGGATGCAATCTAATAAGTGCTGCGCTCACAAACACTACTTTTTTCAGGCATTACAGGAAAGACGAAATGAAAATTACATCGAAGCTTTTCTGAAGATGGTCGGTTCTTTTCAAAGAAACATTCATATAAAAACACCCGCGCTGCATTTTAATTTTGAAACGTGCAGTTCGCATATTAGACAGCCTGCTGCTTATAACTGCTTAAGAGTGCGCTGGCCACGAGCGATGACATTGTGGAGGCTATTGTCGGACCCACAGACACATTTCATGAGGAAAGTTAACGTGCACGTTATAATCAGCCCAGAAGTATAGTATAATCAGCCCAGAAGTATAATCAGCCCAGAAGAAACAGAATTGCACGTGTTTCTACTTTCACATGCAAATGACTTGTTGCACTTATGAATATGATAACTTTCCCCAACAATTGCTACTCAAAACTAGCCAAATCGCGTTTCGAGGGGGTCCCCAGTTAAAAATTGCATTCCGGGGGGTAAAATACACGTTTTTTGGCGGGGTTCCCCTGCTAAAATTCCCATTCCAGGGGATAAATATCATGTTATTGAAGTCGCTTCAACCCGCGGCAACAGTTAAAGTAGCCCAACTCCGAGTGAAAACCGCGCACTTGGCAACACTGGTCACGCAGCCAGAAAGAGATGGGTGTGTCTCAATCAGCTCCCTAGCTCCCGAGCTCGTGAATCAGTAGATCGTGTACACGAATTTGGTCACTGGAGATTCTCCGGTACAGTGTCCCACAACAACGCTTAGCTGCCTGCAGATGCGCCTGCCTATAAATCGGCCTAATTTGTAGCACAAGCCAATTAAAAAATGCCAAAAATCATAATGAATTAATTTGTCAGGATTGAAAATTAGCCACACAGCAATAAAGTTATATTTTCCATTATTTCACAAAAGAAAGAGGACACATTTATTCAGTCGCATCTTGTTTTTGTTTATTTGTAGTCGCAGTATACATCTCACTTATAAAGAATGATCATTTCTATAATTTTCCATCAAAAATACGACCTGAGTAGCAGAGGGAGTAACATACACTGAGCTAAATATGAACATCAGACAGTCAGGTATAGACACGAGACTTACTGACAGATTAAACATGTTACTAAATAAATACACGATTGTGATAGCCTATGTGATTTGTCTGATTTCTTCAAGGAATCGTATTTACCATGTTTACTATGGTAATGGCTAGCGCACATAGTCCTTTGCATCACTTATAAATGTTTCTGCCTTGTATGGGGATCATAATCTACATCGGATCTCAAACAGAATTTATTTCAAACACTCGCTGCTGTCGGAAACTGAGTTTTGAGCTAAAATTATTTTTAAAAGTCTTTAATGTTGGTGTTATAGCTGTTAACTAAATGATCCATGGTGCTGACACCCTCCAGACTCGGAGAAACTCCGCCTTTGCTCATAACCACTCCTCAAGCCCGAGCTGGTCCGCTTTGGCCCAAGGTTTTCGGCGGGCCAAAAAACCTGGCCAGAAGCACTGACGAGGTACGATAAAGCCCCGCAAGTGAAAGTGGAAATGTGACTGGCCCTGGCATACACTAGCACGCCCGCTTTTGGCCCGACAGTGGAAAAGCGGCTAATGAGTTCCAGTTACTGATCTTTGTGACAGGATTAGTTTGTAGTCTACTTTATAAAGAGTTCCAAAGTGTTCAGGTCTTTCCTTGGTGAATGGAAGGGGATGCCTACATACTTTTGCCATGTAGTGTAGAACCATATACTTGCCTGAAACTTAAAGGCTCTGTCCTAAATTCCACTCATATCCCTTATCCGAGTTCACATTTTGGTGATGCACTCCTACACAGATTGTCAAACGTGTGGAGTCCACACCAGCATGGGCTCAACAAGGGTGTAAGAACCCTTCTAAATCCTAAAACGGTATACTCTACAGTCTTGTGGACTCCATAGACCTATGCAAGCAAAGACAGCAAGTCCACATTAAGTGCAAAATTTGGGGCAAGGCCTACACCAGGGGTGTCCAACCTGGTCCTCCAGCGCCACTGTCCTGCAGAGTTTAGCTTCAGGCCCAAGTATTGTGAACCAAGGTTATAAAAGTCTTCAGGATTACTAAAACTTCCAGGCAGGTACATTTGGACAAGTTAGCGGTAGACTCCACAGGGGTCTCCAACCCTGCTCCTGGAGAGCTACCATCCTCCAGAGTTCAGTTACATCCCTAATCAACCACACCTGAAACAAGATCTTCAGGGTTACTTGATAATTACAGACAGGTGTGTTGGAGCAGCGTTGGAACTGAAGTTTGCAAACCAGGATTTGGAAATCCCTTCCCTGAACTGTATAAGTGCAAAGAATGTATTAATGTTTCACCTTTTTCGTTTCTAGGCACTGCATCACAGGAGTGGGCTTCCAGGGTCAGTTTGGCTCAGAGGGAGTGGATGACGAAGAGTCATTGTCACCAGAGACCTGCTATGAATGCAAGATCAACGGTGACCTTGGAAAGAAAGGTCGCCATAGGCGTAATACTGGCGATAATGAGCTCAAGGTACTTTTGAGTACTGTCCATCTCTCTTTAGTTGTCTTGTTATCAATATGGCCACACTGCTAACCCTGAAAGGGTATAATAGACTTAGATCTATCAGAAGCTACTTCTAAGGTTTCCAAATGTTCTGTCCTGCCCTCAGGAGACGGTGAGCTTGGCCAGCATGGATGTTCAGACCTCTATCCCCATGAACCTCAGTCTGGCACAGCTGCAAAACAAGGAACCCCTACTTGAGTTGCTTCCAGCCCTGGAGCCGCTTGAGCACCATGTGCGCTACGTCATAACGCATGGAGAGTCGAGGGTTCAAAAGGCTTATGGTTCTCAAAAATGAAATGCGTCTTTTTACACAAGATTTCTGGGACTTTCTGGAGTGTTTGCATGAGCTGCCACATTGCGTTACCTCATTTTACACACAAACACAAGAACACACACAAATATATGTATGGCAGTTAGGACAGGAGTGGTGCTAAACGCTCAAAATTTGCACTGGGCCTCCTCTGCGTATTTCATCAGGGAAAATTCATTCCAAAAATGGCAACGACTGTCTAAAGGGTTTTCGAATATGCATGCGATGTTGCACAAACTTGGCATTTACATTTGAACCATTTTCTTCTCCATACTTGTGTGCTCTTGTCGGTGTATTTGACAAAGACGTGCTTGGCAAACAGAGCACATACGAATGGAGAACTGGAAGCCTGCTGGGTAAACCAACCAGAGGCCATTTTTGATTGCAGCTGGAGACGTGCAGTCTCAATGGTACATAAGGATTGTTTGGCAAGCCTTCCTCCAAAACACTCCAGATATGGACATGCAAACACACATTTTCAACTTTCAAGTGTGGGAACGATGACAAACTGACCCTCGTTTCTTAGTTTCTCAGAAACCGCGAGCAAACAAGGTGCTAAGATTCCAACTTACGCTGTACTACAAACTGATTTGTGGATCGCAATCGTGACATTTCCAAAGGTCTTTTGTGTTTTATTTTATTTTTTATTTTGTGTGTGATTGTCTTTTGTACTGTCTCAATGCTGAAAAATCAATACTATCAAAGCTTGTTGAAAATTTAAATAGTATATTTTAAAGTGAAATGTAGTTTTTGTTTGTATTTCTTCTTCTTTTGTATTCTCGAGCATCAAGACTGCCAAACCAAATATTTACTTGTACAGTACACATTAGATAAATAGCTTTTAAGAGCTGTTGACTTTGTTTTTCCTCAGAATACGGACAATTAATGATCACCGCGTCCTTATTTTACTGTCACTGAGCACTACGTGACAGACGTCACTGTTTACATGAGTTTGTCCATCAATCATCTAAATGAATAATACTGTAGTTTATTGCAATGACCAGCAATATTGGACTGTTTTCAAAGGCTGTAAACAAAGTGATTTTGGTGCTAGAATGACAAAACTGTTTCTTGAACATCACAGTAACTGCACTGTTTGACAGCCTGAGCTATATTTATGCATAACCATTTGTCTAACATGGGAACTTTGTATACTTTCATATCTTTTGTTTTTGTTGATGCCACTACATGTAAAAGAGCGAATGTGCGTGACTGTACTGTATGTCAAAAATCAGTAGCAAACTTGAAATAGTCATCAAGCTAGTGTTGAGTTACGAACTTCAGACCAAAGAAAGTGGACCGGGTCGCTCAGGATGTCGTCCCATACCATAAATCTCAGAGGTGCATTGATTAGGGCATCTGTATGAATTTTTTGAGCCATAAAGATCCACGACGGAGAAACCTGAGTACCCCATACACTGCTAATGAGTAATTCCAAATGCATCGTTTTTATACCATTTTCGATCCATCTGTTAGATCCGAGTGATCCGCACAATGTTTGTGAACATCTGTACGAAACAACAAATGGCAATAAAACAACATGGGTTATATTTTTAAAACTTTGTCTTTCTGTTCTCTATGTGCAAAGGCCATTTTTAGCCACGTTAAAGAGATCTAGCGAGTGTATCCAAGTGGAAGCCTTAAGTGAATAAACCCAGTTTTATTTCAGACAAAAGGGAATTAGGAAAATATCCAATCTACTTACAAAACTCACAAAGCAATGCAAGCTCCTCTGTTTCTTGGCACATCAACATTCTTTGCACATCCGTCCAAATGAGAGCTACAAATTCAAGACGATTAGCAAAAAGGGAACTCCAAATCCGAGTCGGGATATAAAAATAATGCTTTCGGTCGATTCTAAACCTCTCTTAGATCACAACGGTTTCAGAGAGCTCGGCAGATTAGCAAACAGATAACCAATGACATGAACACCCGCGAGATATGAGAACATATGGCTTATATACACATAGTCAAAGGACAGGAAAGAGTCAAACAGCAATAATACAAGGACTGACACCCAGTTCCGAAGTCTTAAAGGGATTTTTGCTCCAAATCCAGAACATCCTCAGAAATGTATAAAGCACAGAGTTTAGAACGGGTCTGTCGAAGGCAGCAGGTATGTCGGACATCCTCGGACTTTCCAACAATACTGAAGTATTCCTTAAAGATGTATTTCGCGCAAAATTACCATGCTAAATAGACAAAAATCATACTGAATAGGCCATAATCATGGTAGGAGGCTTATTTAATTGTACACAAATGAAAACGAGGCAATGAGGGCAGCAATGACTAAGGAGAACAAAGTGTAAATTGCTTTCGAAACCCTTTCTTGCGTAGTTTGTTAAATCCAAAGCAACAATTTAATGACATTTCAGTTATTTTTAGTGTAAATTTTGTGTAAACCATTTGTTGAATTCAACGCAACAATTAACAGAAAGTGACAATTTAGTGAGTTTACTGATTTTTACAGTGTAACCTGTTAAAACCATTTGTTGCATTCAATGCAACAAATGTAAAGCGACAATTTAACATCAGTTTTGTGATTTTTACATTGTACATTTTGTTAAAACCATTTGTTCCATTCAATGCAACAATTAACGTAAAGTGACAATTTAATGACAGTTCAGTGATTTTTTGTGTAAATTTTGTGAAAAACCATTTGCTGCATTCACTGAAACAATTAACGTAAAGTGACGATTTAGTGAGTTTACAAAGTTTTATGGTTTAAATTGTTAAAACCATTTGTTGCCTTCAATGTAACATTCAACAAAGTGACATTTTAGTGAGTTTTATGATTTGTATGGTATAAATTATTCATAAAACAATTTATTGCATTCAATGCAAGAATTAACAAAGCGACAATTTAACATCAGTTTTTTGTTAAATCCATTTGTTGAATTCAACTGTGTAAATTGTTCGTCAAACCATTTGTTAATTTACACACAAATTTAAGGTCCAATGTCTCAAGTTTAGTTTTTAGTTTAGTTTAGTTTAGTTTTCATGTCATCGTCTATAGTTTTTTTTTTTTTTACGCAAATTGTAACGCATATTTTACCATTTTTTTCCATCCACTGTAAAATTTTTGCAAAGCCATGTTTCCAGTGTTTCGGTGGCTGAACAACTGACATCAATTTACAGCAACAATAGACTTACTGACATCTATCCATCACAGCCTCATTTTCAGTTGCGTTAAATTAAATATGCCATCTACATAGGTTCATTGAAGAGTTTCATCATGTCTTTTACAATTAAGATATATCTACAGTAACGATGAAGTATGTACAGTAGCCGAAGGGTAGTAACAGTTCACAGTGAGCATTGTGTTGGGCACCTTGAACCGTCGACTTCATGTGTTTATTCGTTGTAGACCTTGTAGACCGTCCTGAGGAAGTAGCTACAGCGGAAGAAATGGACGACCCTGTTAATTCGGTTACGTTTACGCCCAAAGTACATTTCAAGGTATACATGGCACGTGCGTTCCCTGGGAATCGAACCCATGATGGTTTAAGCGCAATTAGCTACAGGGTTGGAGTCGGGCCAAATGTTGGGCTAAGGCAGGTGGCGTCTCAAGGTCACGTGACTACACCAGGGCGTAATCAAACTGGCCCCGCTCGAAGCCATCCTTGTGATCGGTCCAAGATGAAGCGGGCATTCGGCTGTAGGGGTCGAGCAAGATCCGGAAGCAACGCACCAACAGGAAAATCAAAAACAGCATCAGGAGACCCACGAACGCAAAGGCTGTCCTTTGCTCGGCGTCGCCGCCAAGAGGTGGGCTGCTGGGGACCCCGGCGAATGACGGCCCCGGCGAGAGCAGCTCATAGTCCAATGTGGACACATCGCTCATCCTCCAGGGAGGGCGACGACAGAACTGGCAAGCTGTCGTGAGAGTGGGTTGGACGGAGAGATTGATGCGGCGACCTCGATGTGAACAAACGAGGCCAAAGTCGACCCTTTTGACCGCGTGACGGACACGCAAAGTGACACAAGTGGAGCAATCCGGGACCAAGCGGGGTCAAAGTGACAGGCTTTTTTATTCCAGACCTGTCAAATCGGATCTGACCCGCAAGTGGCGCGGCGCAAGCCGATGGGACATGACACAACGGGCTGCCACAACGGATAAAAACAGCAAGGACTCGAGTCACACGCTCGTTTCTTTTGGCTGCAGGGATGAGGCTAATTGGTTCCAGATGGGACACGGTTTGCAGGTGTTGTCCCTACGTTGGGCGCCAGTTTACCGTTCGCCCCACGGCAAGTATCCCATTTCTGGCTGCCGCTGAAAGCGTCAGACAATGAACATCGGACGCCTAATCGGATCAGATCGATATGCGAATCTGAGAAAGCCGTTCGTTCAAGCGAGTTAGATTAGTGGGCTCCAGTAGGTGTGCATTAGGTTGATGAGTCAGAGATGATCTGTTCCTTCTTGCTTTTGTTTTCTCACACAGAAGCGTCTTGTAAGGTTGGTACTATTGATCGAGGCTGGCTAATGTCTGGTATAGTGTGGATTTCAGGGCCAGGATGGGATGTAGGCGGACAGCAGAAACGACGCCTTCGCTGCAGTGCGTTTGGCCTCTGGTCTGTTGTACTTCACCCTGTAAACACACAACGTAAGCGTATTCAGCATTTAATCTGTTTAGTTGCATGACCATTAACTAGTCCTAAACCAAAAAGCTCACAATGAAAGAGATATTATGTGCTTTTCAGAAATGTCCACTGGATGTTAACACAAAATATGTTAAAAAAAAATAATAATAATAAAAAAAAAAAAGGAATTTGGCATGTTTATTTTTTGTAAAAACAGTAAAAGAAATCTTGTTAAAAATAATGAAGGCATGTTTTATATATTACTTTTCACTTTTAACAATGCTATTTAAATGAATACAAGACAAAATATATTTGATTTAAAAGTGTGAATATATTTAATTTTATAAATGCATTTAAATGTATTTTTTAACAAAATTAAAAATGTATTAATGCATTTTTCTGGA